CATCTTCATTATCCACTCATGCCTGCACCCTAGAGCTTTATTCCCCATCATCCCCCTCTCACCGAAATTCCTCCAGTGGCATCACCGTCATCCATAAAAGTAGGAAGTACAAAACACAAACTCACTCAGTCATCGAATCAGGAATCTATGTCAGAGACTCAAGATGCCCAGCTCATCCTTCCAGCTTCCCAGCTCTTCATTTGAGCCTCCTCTGCTCTTCAGGCCTTTCGCCTTTATCCAAGTAAGTCAATCTCTTACTTATCGGAACAAAGCAGCATCCCATTCACACTCAGGTTCAGCGTCATTTCTCCTAGATTAACTGCATGCTAGCAGCCCTCCAACCCTCATTTTTCCATGTCTGGGTTCTCTAACCATGCTACACTCTCACACTACTAACACTGGTTGTGTGAGAGTCCCACGATTGTGACAAAAACTAGGACCGTCACAGCACCTGTCCCCCACTCTACTGTCTACTCCTTGTTCTTTTCCCTTTCTGATTCGTCATGCTGCTTCACTGCCACCTAGGATTGCCCGATTAGTGGTTGTTGTTAGCCTCAAGGGCAATCCGCTGGCTTCACTATAACTTGTAAGTTGCTTTGGACAAAAGCGTCTGCTAAATACATAAACATAAGGACAAATGAGGATGGACTAGTGGACAGTTATAGCTGCACTTCACAAACTTCACTCAACTTCGTGGTAAGTAAGATTTAACAACAGATCTTCTGGCAAAAAAAAAATTCGTTTTGTGTTAAATATAGTTATAGTTATAGTTACGGGTTTTCCCGAACTTGCAATGACTTACACAAGCAGCTATAGGTAGTGGCTATGCGTTATCTAGCAGCTAGCAGATAGCAAATGTGGCTAGCCATATCCTTGTTCAGGCTTAAACAAAACATCCTTTAACTCAACCACAGGTGAACTGGGCGTGAGTTGCAGTGATGTGTTCCTTTGGACTGGTGCCGATGGTGCTGAAGCCTATTGAACCAGCTGTTGGTGAGCCATAGCAGACCACGTTAATCCAAACAATAATAATGCAGAAGAGATGTAATGAAGGCATGGATCTGTGGCCATGGCGGAAAATGCCGGAGCTGAAAGAAGCAGGATTTTACTGTTGTAGGGAGTGAAGAGAAACAACGTGATTGGTGGGATCTTTCATCCCTAATGGGAGCAAAAGTTTATTCAGGAATCAGAAGAGTCAGTCGCTGAGGTAAGTAATAGGGGTCGACTGATTTTTCAGTCGGCTGATGAATCGGGCCGATATTTAGCATTCTTTCATCATTGGCCGATAAGTCTCTTTAGTAAAGCCGATTTAAAGTCAGGCACCTCCGCGGGCAGCCCGCTGCTACTGGAAGCCGGTGAAGGACCCAATCCAAAACGAGTATTTACGTCAGACTAAAAGGTAAATGATAAATGACCCACACTTGTATAACGCCTCTCAGAGTAAGGACTCAAAGCACTTTACACTACAGTGTATCATTCATCCATTCACACACACATTCACACACTGATGGGGATGAGCTACGATGTAGCCACAGCTGCCCTGGGGCGCACTGACAGAGGCAAGGCTACCGAGCACAGGCGCCACCGGTCCCTCTGACCACCACCAGCAGGCAAGGTGGGTTAAGTGTCTTGCCCAAGGACACAACAGCAGAATTATCTGTCCGGAGCCGGGATCGAACCTGCAAACTTCCGATTACTGGACAACTGCTAGGCTAGCTTGTCAGCTTTAGAGACCATCTGAAACTCTCAGCTGCTTTTAGCTCAACATGTTAGCTCCAGTTTTATAGATGACATTGTTTTCCTGTGTGGGAGTTGGAGAATTTCACTCTGCGTGTTAGAGAGGAGAGTCCTGCAGTGTCTGCACCCCCTCCTGGTGGGAGGAGCTTAAGAACGTCACACGCGCCTCCAGTTCTTACGTGGATGGCACGGTGAACAGAAACACAGAAAAAAGATCTGTATATAAACGCAGCTCTTGTTTTTCTGTTTAGCGTGTAATCTGTGGTCAGAAACAGCACAGACGTGTTCTGAGTAAAGACTAGATTTAATTTGTACGTAAAATCTAACATCAGCAGTCAGTAACACTAGTGAATAGTGAGGGTTATTAATAGATGAGTGTTTCTCTAATAGTTCTCATATAGACAGGGTTGGGGGTAAACGATTATTTTTAAAACGATTATTCTGACGATTATTTTATCGAATAGTCGACTATTCTAATGACTATTTAGATGATTAATCTAGCGATTATTTTCTATTGCACAATTAATAAAAACCAAAAAATCTCAAATAAATTCCTCAAAAAAAATTGATAAGTTGTTACTGTAAGAGAATAAACACTACAG